TGGCCAGGACACCGGGGTTACACCCCTACTCTTTTTGAGAAATGCCCTGGGAAATCCCCATCACTATACTGGGGCATTAGGACCCACATGGACTGCAGGGTGAGTGCCCCCTGCTGGCCCCACTAACACCTCTTCCAGCAGCAACCTTAGTTTTTCCCAGGAGGTCTCCCATCGAGGTACTGGCCAGGCTCACACCTGCTTAGCTTCAGTGGATTGCCAGTTGTGAGTCACAAGGTGATATGGCTGCTGGAATGTTGCTTACCCATTCATGAGCAGTTTGTAATGCACTCACAATTTATTTTAGCTTGTTGGAATTCTGTTACAAACAGGTTTAACTGTTATTCTGAGATGTTCTGATTTCTAGCAATTAATTCACATGAAAGGTGAGAGAGCAAGTACAGTGAAAAAACAAGTATTAGAACCAATTATTGATTTCAGTTTCCTTTTTGTAAGTTGGAGCATTGATAATATTGGAACAGTCAAGTAACCTGAAAAAAGAAAAAGTGTTTATTTTCTGTTAGTGTTTGAAGCAATGCAGGTACTGTTCTGTGTATGGCCCTTGACCAATACAAGTGTGCAGAAGTCGCACAACACAGACTTTCAGCAAGTGGGGTTCCCTCTACACCATTGCCACCAGCCCTGGAAGGGGGGAATTGATGGGGGCAGGCTACTCATCTTCAGGGATGCTGGGGGGGAAGAACCCAGTGTTAAAATAATCTTGTACCAGAATTCTTTATCTTCCGATATCCAATTTCTTCAATAACTGTTGAGCTCAACAGTACACTGTTTTGTCACAAAATACAAAGCCGACGCTCTTTTGTTTATATTTAAACAGAGGTGTTCTTACGAGTCTTGCAAGTCTCTGGGCTCCTGGATAGAAGACCTTAATCAGAGAGTGCATTTCTTCCGGGTTTGGGGAGAGAAAGAGAAAATATATCTCATGGAAAGGTAAAAGGATCGCACTTAGGAGTGGAGATCTTGAGTTATCCATTCTAAACTCTTCATTATCCACTATTAGTTCTTATTAGGGTCTTATTAGGATAGGATATTTTGCCAACCTTTTGACTCATTAAGCTGAAAAGCATATTATCTCACTTACCTTTTTCTCTAAAAACAAATGTAAATAAGTCATATGAATTTCTGTTTTTCAAGGTTAGAGTATAACTGTGACACTCCTAATGACAAGATAGTCCTAAAAGGCTCATTAGATTACAAATGCGTATCAAGGTCCTGTAGAATTCATACTAGGAAATTTAACTTGGTTAAATAAAGGTGGATGGCAGATGTACTTTTATTTTTCTTTGTTTAGGGTTGCTTCACAGACTGAGGGTATAAAGCCTACAACAGAGCCACAATTTCCCACCACCTGCAAGCAACCTCGTAGCTTCTGGTTGTCTGGATTCTTTTTCCCTCAAGGTAAGGAGAATGACTATTATGACAGGAAGGAGGGGGCAAAACATTGAGTTGTACGCCAATGGAAATCCATGAGACTTCAGTCCCAGGATATTAGACAATAACTAACTTCAGTGTCAGAAAACATTCTTAGGACCAGAGATGTCTTTTAAAGAAGTTTAACTGTATCAATATATATATATATTCCATTTTGAAAAAATGTTTTGAAATGTTTCTTTTCAGCATGGAATAAACCTTTACTTGTTCCTTTGCAGCCTATGCATGTTGACACAGTTACCCACCTGAACTGATATTATATATTACAGGTTTTCTGACTGCAGTTCTGCAGAATTCTGCTCGTCTAAAAGGTGTTCCAATCGACTCTCTTGCTTTCACCTACCATGTGCAACCCACAGAGCAGGGTCTCAACAATTGGAGTGGAAGAGTCGATAAAACAGCATTTGCCTTTGAGGTAAGTGCTGATATTTTGCCATATATTTAAAGACTGTAGTACACAAGATCTTTCATACAGTATATGCATGTAACATCAAAAACATGAGGAGGCCATTTGGCCCATCTAACCCCTTTGGTAGTAGAGAATTCATCCCAGAATATCATCCAGCTGTTTATTGAAAGAAACCAGTTAATGAGCTTCAAGAACAGCTAGGAAGCTTGTTCTGTTCCACACAACTTGTTGGGTAAGAAAGTACCTGCTGCTATGAGCTGCAAACACACTTCCACATCGATTCCACTGTGGAAACTCTTGCACAACATTCATTTTCCTTAAAAGGGTATGAGAAATTCTAGTTCTGTTTCGAGACCTCCTTAAGGTCATTATTCATATTTAAACAGAAATGCACTCTAATGTAACTGGTATTGAGGCACTGGACTTCTATCTCATTTCTAACCAATTACAAGCTGCTTCATGCTGTAATACACCCAGAAACACAATATGTTTTGTTAAGACTACACATGTAAAACTTAACATTTGCAAATCACACAAAAAATCCAAATATTTATATTTGCTAAATCTTCATCAAGTGGTCTAACTTCTATAGGATGAAATCAAATAAAAACTTTGTAGAAAAAAAATCACCGGTTTGTGAGCATAGGTAGATAAACTATTTTTTTGTACAATATTCTCTGTTTTGAAAGTCTCTTCAGCAGTCTCTTAATTATCAAAATGCTGCAAGGAATTAAATTACCTGTCAAATGTAACAATTACTTAAATTACACTAAAAATTCCCCGTTATAAATGGATAACAGGCCAGCTGTTTATACAATAACTATTTTAGATAGAACAAGCTACCATCTCAATTAACTTGAGGATTAGATTTGTGGTTCAGTCTCTAGTCAGGAGAATGCAATATCTATAGCTGTGATTGGCTATGTCATTCTATTTATTAAAACCTTAACATTCAAGTTATTCAACTTGTATATGTGATACTTGCAACTCTGAAAGTGTTACCTATTAAACTAACATTTAAAATAAGAAAATTAACAGAATATATTGGGATTATGTGAAGATTACATCATGCAAGATTCTATTTAATTTTTTGTTGATAACCTGTGTGAAAAATGTCATTTATAAGATTATTCAAACAGCACAAACAGGTCCAAAAAAGGGAGAAATTTATTTTCAGTTCTTAGCAAGTTATATCTAAAAGCTTATATTTAAGCAACATTCTTCTGCTGAGCTATACAATTCACAGATAAGAACAGGTATTATTCTTCATTTTAAGAGCTCTAAAAATTTAAACAAGCAATTCAAACTGCAGATGCTATATTCTTCACAGGGCCTTCCACCCCCTAAGGAAGGTGTTCTGGTGTATGGATTGTTCTTGGAAAGTGCAAGCTGGGACCCCCTTTCTCAGGCATTAGAGGATTCATTACCTAATTATCAACACTGCCCAATGCCCGAGATACACTTCTTACCACAGCAGGTAACTGCTAGTATTTTTGTGTCCAATGCGAATTTGTGAAACTATCCTTTTTTCAGTATTAATATTATGCAATGACTGGAAACTGACTACATAAAACTAAGTTGTTACACATTCCATTACAGAAAGTGTTTTAACCACTGCTGATACTGACTAACTGATAGAAATCCATTTTAATAAAAAAACAAACCAAGGACACAAACACAATTCAATTAAATAAAGAATATTAATTACAATTAACTACATACAGAAATTCTATTCATTTACACATTTTCTTACTATTTAGATGCATGGAAACTGAATCCATTTTTCTTCACGTTCAGATTTCAGATGAAGATGCACCCATCGAGACCGATACAGCGGATGTACTTCTGTACTATGACTGCCCATTATACCGTACACAAAAAAGGGCTGGCTCTCTGTCTTCATCAGGACTCTCAACTAATTTCATCACTGCAATCTCTCTGCCAACAACGGTTTCACCTAATCACTGGGTCATAAGGGGGACAGCCCTTCTAAGCCAAGTGAATGAATAAAGGCTTTTAGAATCAAGCAGTTAATTTAAAAAAAAAAATTCCAAGCAATATAAAGTGGGTGTCTTATAATTCTTGTACTTCAAAAATCGCACTTTCTTAATAATGAATCTTTGGAGAACTCTTCTCAGACTTTCTAAAACACACATTTAAATATCCAGAAACACAATGACACCTTTTACTGTAAACCTTTATTTTTAAACAAAAAAAAGTACAATAAAAGCTTTCCATCTAGTGGACAAGAATGTCTGTCAGCTTTAACATCATTTCCCACTAGATCCAATACTTGAAAATGCGTTCTTCCCTGCATTAAAGTGCAATGCCTTCATAAGCATTTTATGCTATTTATTTTTAGTTTGGATTTTCATCCTGAATATCCAATAAGGTAATATGAGTAGCCTTTCTTAACCCATATGAAAAGGCATAGACAAAGTCAAAATAAAAGGTCCTAGTGCACCAGAAAAGCTGTCTATAACAGGAAGGAATACACTTTATCAAATCAGATACAAATTTAAAATAACTATTATAGAAATGAGACTTTCTGAAGGGAAGAACAGATTTTCAACTACCAATCTGTAATGGCTTTTTCTGGAAACAAATTCACTGTTATTGCAGTTTCATAGCACAAAGGCAGGTTCAATGCAAATCTTAATTGGCTACAGTAGAAATTAAGCAGAATGTATTGAAGCATTGCTAAAATATCCACTACAAAATGTAATATATACTACAAATACTGTTCTTCATATTTTTAAATCACAACAAAAAAAACTTTCATGATAAAAACAGGCAAGCTATACTATTTACATTTCATGTCACTTGTTCACACATTTGCCTTTAATTGCTACAAAGCTAAATATCTACAGTGTTTTAAGAGCACGATTCAATGGGCCTTTTGAATTCTAACAAAAGACGTATAATGGCTTCTTCACCATTCTTCACAGTATCAGTAACTTTAGAATTACAATGTTAGACTCCAATCCACAAGTGGAAAACTTAAGTACTTTTTAAGTACAACTTTATAAATTAAAAGTCATGCTTGCATTTCAGATTAAAACTACAAATACTAAAACATTAAAATCCAAATTTGTCGTTTATTTCAAAGGCGTATCAAATTTGTTTTAAATAGCTCACAATTTTGTTTTTCAAATAAAGGTTTCTGTTACCCATATATTTTATGTGAACTCACCACTTATGGATGTAACCTGTCCAATTCCTTTTGTTGTTTTTTGCCTTCCCAAACAACTTTAAGCCATTATTTCAGTGAGTCAAATATCACGATTTCAGTAAAGAAAATAAATTTCATAATTTGTGAACGTGAGGTAGAAAAGCCAAATTACAAAAACTTTGGATAATGCAATCTCTCCTATAACACTCCTTCAAATTACCACACTACATTTATGTAAGAAACATTGTACAAAAATATTTAAAAATACAGATTATGCCAATCGCTCCTTTTCTACAATTTTCTGGTCCTGAGGGAAAAGTACTATAGTCACTGTACAGATAAAAAAAGAGCATTTAATTCTCCCAAAAAATACAATATACACAAGCAATATACCAAATGGTATATTTACAAGCAAAGCAACAAACTGCTAGAATTTGAGTAAAACCTTATGAAAACTGACTAATATATTGTTATCATGGGTATGTAGAAAAACAATAATGTATGTACATGACTATACATTTGGTGAGATTTGCCCCAACTGTGGCTGCTATTTTGATTTCTCAAAATGTGCTAACAAAAACGGACGGAGAGCTTTTTAAGCACTGCTCTTGGACCAAAATGAGTTAATTTCCTTTGCTTCTAATGCTAACACTTGAATGATGAAATGTTTCGTAAAGGGGGATTCATGACTAAAACACTTTCCTAAATTAATATAAAGACTTAAGATGAACTAGCCTCCTCTTAAGACATTTTTCCTCTGTGAAATATATACATCCTTATATTTTTTGCAGTCCACTGGTAACATTTTCCTTGGAAGAAAAATACATTAAACAAAAACGGAGGTATATCACTTAAAAACTAAGCTGCAATTTTGAGTTTACGCATTTGGTTTCCAATTGCTCAGTAAATCCCAGGGAAGATACGGTAACGCACTTGTCGACAGTATTCATCCCACGCTGATCCATATTTCTTTCGGCACTGGTGCTCATCACGAGCTTCACGGTGAATCAATAAGCAGGTGAAATAAATGATGTAGAAGTATGGCAAAATGTGGTTAAATCCTAACAAAGAAAAATAATTTAGTGCATTTCATTGGTGTTACTTTGTAATTTTTAAAATGCTTATCAACAATAATAATAAACTTTATTTTATATAGTGCCTTTAAAGGTGGCTTCTCAAAGCCCTTAAATCAAACAGTTTTGATATTCCCATGAACAAATTCTTGGCAGTTCCTATTATTTTCCCAGTTCAGTCCAAATTTAGCAGAATTAAAATCTTTCTTCAGACACATCTCTATGAATCATGCAGTGTCATTAATCAAACGTCAAAACTGGACTTTTATTTGAATGAACTTTCTGATGATGGAAAAACTATAACCAAAGCTGGCCCGACACAGTGTGGATTTCTACTCCACAGTCTCAAAATAAAGGCATCATTTTAGCAATTACTCTGAAATGCTAGAAAAACTGATTACTTATTTTGTTTTTGAAGTTAAATTAATTAAACTGATGATTTGAAAATTAGAAATTGATTAAGTGTCTTGCATTTGTTCACTGACCTTATTTTTAACTGAATGTTTCTTATTAAAATATTTCAGATTGTAGACAAAAAAAATAACATTTGATGTTTTGAACTTAGTTATTCCTAAATCTGTTTCAAAATCAATTTACTTATAATGTGTAAGAATTACATGTTGTAATTAATCTTATTATTCATAATTCTTTGTGCTTTTGATCTTTTAATTTGAGTGTATGGACAGAGCAGGGACCACTCTAAATCAACTTTTAAGTTACCGTAATATACAAGTTACATTCTTAAAACCTGTAACATTTAACAGCTATACTTTTACTTCCTTCACACACATACAATAATGCACAAATAAATCCTGAGATGATCAGATTTAAAAATTATCTGAAGCACAGACAGACAGATAAATACTACATTCTGCCAAGTCAGCACCCACATGTAAGCATCCGCCCACCTCTTATTTTGACCCAAGTCATAATTTCACTATGCATGAATACTATACATGTGCGTGAAACTAGATTTGGGGCAAAATGCCATGGCTCGGCAAAGATGGTTCTTCTATCACAGTGCATGCGTTTACTTTACTGTTAAGACTTAAAACTGATAATATCCATAAAAGAAAGTAGAATGATAATCATGCACTGTTTTATGGATATGTTTGTTAGGTAAGATCAGATTTCTAATATCTGATATAAGACATTAATTGACTGAGTTGGTACAAAGGTCCCCACATGTTTATTTCCAATTTTTAACAATATGCCTGAGGGAAAAACTCAGAAAAGGGTTTTCTGATTAATCAAGGTTTTCAATACATTTAATGTGGCATTTAAAGCCATGCTGTGGTGCACAAAGATCTGATTTATTAGTCAAGACTTTGGAGGCATTTACACTGCTTACAGCACGCATAACCATACAGGGTTGATCATTAGATAGAGGCACACTCAGTATATTTTTATATTTGTCCTCAGAATTCAAATTCAAATATGGTTGAGAAACAAGAAAATTCATTCATGGAGAACTTTAACATTTACAGGAGTCCATTTCAACTGCACACACTACTATGAATTCGCCAGATACTCACCACATGGTAGAGACCAAGCCAGTGCCATGATAATGTCACCAAGGTAGTTTGGATGACGGACAAAACCCCATAAACCAGAGACTAACAGACTCTTTCCTGTTGCCGTTCGAATGGTGCGCAGATCTGAAGAGAAAATAATGAGAATCAGCACCAATCCCCCCATTGGAAAAAAAATTAGTGAGTATCAATAATTTTTTACTTACGTGACAATTCTGGAGCATAAGGATTTCTTCTGAATGCATTCTTCTGGGAGTTGGCTTTACGGAACACAAGGTACCCAAATGCTAAAGAAAATAGATTTTTTTTAACAAAAGAATTTGTGGCTTGTCTCCACTATTTCATTTCAGCTGAAATTTGGTTTGAGGGTAATTCACTAAGGTAACAGTGATCAGACACCAAATAACACTGCACGCAACAATACAGTTGTACAATTTTAAACATTCTTTAAAATTAGTCATTCTCTTTGCATTCCTACTTGACAATTATATCTTGGTATATATCCAAGCCCACAACAACAATCAGAAGGTAGAATCTGCTTAAATTAGGTAGATCTACTAATGTTTTATTCATTTTTCTCATTCAGTGACTTGTCTCCCTACTTAAAGAGACATGGAGGATCCAAGATTAAATTGACCTAATAATGGAAAAGACTAATGTTCATTTATATTACTCAGAAGACTACTATAAGAAGTACGATTCATGAATCTCCAGGCCACTAACTATGGCATTTCACAAGGGCATAATACTACTTCATCATAAACTTCTGATATTGCGTAGTACAGTGAACAGAAAAATACTGTTAATTATTTCTAATATACAGTGCGGAATTTTAATTTTAACAGCACAAACATGATCTTACTTACAGTTAAGGATAATGATAACTGCTACCAGTGGCCACGACAGGTCATTAGGATGCTTCACCAAGTAATATGCCTGCAAGCTGTATGTAAATGGCACCCAAACCAAATCTCCAAAAGCCAGCATGAATCCAAAGCCATCATGAACGATGTCCATTGTGGTTAAAATAGCTTCCTACAAAGAACAGATTCATTTTCTGAAAAAAGTTTATCTTTTTAAAATTCCTGCCATGTGCAAATGTTATAATTCAGTAAATCAATCATTTGATTTATTTTGATGAATTTTGAATATTTAGAGCTGAATTTTTAGTTGTAAGACAATTACTTTGAAGTATTTCTTTGGTTAAGTCAAATAAAACATTTTATTGAGAGAAAATTTGATAACCACATGTCAAATGGTCACTTTTTCATACAAAGAAGTTTAATATAAACTCAAGAGTTAAATGTAAAAGTGTAGTCTGTCACTCTTTTCCACTCCTACAGGTGCTTAGACAGACTCCTAATGCTTGTCCTCCTGGCTGCAAATATACATCAGATTTACAACCCACGGGAGTGACCAATTACCCACAGAGCCAATCATACATAGTCTTTTCTACCTGGAGAATTTCATTTGCTGTGGATGCCAATTATTCAATTACACCAGGTGTGGGTAATTTTCACTTCAACAGAGTGGATATAAAAAAGCCACTAAATTCATTATCACCCAAGGACAAACAAATGTATATTTAAAATAACTGTTTCGCCCATAACCATGACATCTTTGACAAGCAAAATGGACCAAGAAATTGAATGAGGCCTATGTATTATTACAACTGAGGTAATACAAGCTATTGAAAAGAAAACAAATTCCAAAATGATTCCAAGAGACTTTAATCAGCATAGAAGAAAACATTTTACTATTAACAAAAGTATTTAAATAAAGTTTTTTTAGATGTTAAAGCTTCTCTTACCTCATGCCAAAGAGCATCCAAAACATATAAAAGTTGGAAGCTATTAACCAGTATCATAGCCACAGATGGATAATCCAACTTGTGAAGTTTCATTTCGGTAACCAGCATTGCCAAGTTAATCACAACCTGGAATTAAAATGAAACAAAAAAATGCTACTGTGTCCGAAGGTTTCTAGATTCTGCCCCAGCCAAAATACTGTTTAAAAGGTATTCAAGTGTTCTTAAAGAATATTATATGTACACCAAAAAACTGATTTGTAAAGATATTAAGCTTGTCAATTCAGTATCAAAACAATGTCCTTGTGCAGTATATACCTTTATATAGTTTATGCATGGCATATAATGTGTGCTTTGTTGTTGTTTTCAAAACTTACTTTTCCTGTGACCCTCAGAAGTTGACTAAAATAAGTATTTTGACCTTTTGACCACTAGATGGTAGTGTACACAGACGAAACGAATATTGTTTTAATTCAGCAGTTGCCCACACTTACGCAGGTAACAGACAATTCACTATAAATTAGAAGTGGCACACACCCTTTATGTAAAAAAGGAAAGCAATAGAAATATAGTTGGGACACCTGAAGATCACATTAATCTAGAAAAGCATATAAAAAAAAAGATGTTTACTACTCACCCAACCAATTAAACCTGGACGCAGCTCACAGAAGTATTTGAGATCAAAGTTTTTAATTCGTGGATTAAGTTCATGCCCAATGAAAAAATCATAAATTATGTTACCTAAAGGTAAAGGACAAAAGAAATTTCCAGATAAGAAATAAACATTTACTAATAAATCTAAGCGTGTTCTATTTTCCAATAATTATTCAAAAGGAATAGTGTTTTGTTTTCCAAATAATAATAATAATAATAATAATAATAATAATAAACTTTATTTTATATAGCGCCTTTAAAGGTGGCTTCTCAAAGCACTTTACAGGATGACAATAACAATAAATAAGAAGACTATAACAATAAATAAGAAGATT